ACTAGTTCTTCTACAAGTATCATTAATACTGTGACTAGTTCTTCCATGAGTATCATTAGTACTGTGACTAGTTCTTCCACAAGCATCATTAGTACTGTAACTAGTTCTTCTACAGGCAGTGACCAGACTACCTCTATTTTAAGCACCACTAGCACTGAGGCTAAAGGCACTGGTCAGCTACATTATTTTTTAAATTTGTATATGGTACTTGACACCCTCAATTTGTTGATGTCCTTATGCCATGTAGAAAGTTTGAGCTGTTTCTGACAAATATTTGTTAAGATATGAGCATTTTTAATCAGAGCCAATTTTTTTAAAGCAAAGGCTGTAGCCCATGGTTTTTTTTTTCAAAAAAGGCAGCAAAATCACCCCAATCTTTATTATATCAAGTTTATGGCTATTTGTCTGATCATTATAATTTAGGTACAATCAGTTCTACTGAAGAATCAGTTATTCCAAGCATATCAACACCATCAACAACAGACAATAGTATGTATAATAAGTAATATATACAGTACCATTTTATTAAATTTGATCATTATAATTTAGGTACAATCAGTTCTACTGAAGAATCAGTTATTCCAAGCATATCAACACCATCAACAACAGACAATAGTATGTATAATAAGTAATATATACAGTACCATTTTATTAAATTTGATCATTATAATTTAGGTACAATCAGCTCTACTGAAGAATCAGTTATTCCAAGCATATCAACAACAGACAATAGTATGTATAATAAGTAATATAATTGTACAGTACCATTTTATTAAATTTTAGGTACAGGTGAAACAAACAGTTCAGTGTATGCTGGTATAGGAGCTGGTTTAGCAGTTATTGTCATCATTATACTGATACTCATTATTGTTGGTTGCCTGATTTGGCGTAAACCTTGGAAAGGAGAGAAAGGTCAGTTTTATCACATAATATAAAGCACAGAAATATCTTTATTCTAATTTTTAATTAAAGTGAAAAAGCTAGGCCAATTTCACAAGCTTCTAATTATGCACACAATATACACATTAATTATTATTAAAGCACATTTCTTCCTTTAGATTCATCAGAGCCTATTGCATTTGTAACTATGAGTAGATACTCAAAGTAAGTTACAATTATGAGATTATTATAATTTTCTTGTTTAGTCCTGAGAATAGTCAGGCTAGCCCTATATATGAAGAGGCTATGGCCAGTGAAGACATTACAAGAGACGCAGCACCAACCTCAATGAGACATCCTCCTTCTCAGCTTGAGATGCCTACATATATGTATCAGGATCCTTGTATTATACAAAGGACACAAGCACCTAATTTGGGTTATTTATATGCTGAAGTGGATAAGAAGAAAGAGCCACAAAAACAAGTAGTATATGCTCAAGTTGATAAAGAAAGGGTGAGTTCAATGATGTACATATCTAACCATGCTATATGCCAAATGCAACTTTAGATTGCATTTTATAATGTCACAATAACACAATGAATATAGAGTAGGATTTTAAAGTAATGCAAAGTAGAAGTGATGTTTGATGCTATAGTATCAGCATATTAAGTAAATTGTGTAACTAAAACAACACTATATGCTATACAGGTAAAATTGTGTTATCATTTGTAAATGAAAAGCTATCAAAAACTGTGTACACAACCAAAGTGCATTATTAGTCACTTATTACGATAACATCGCCTTACTTAGTAGATTAGCAAATGATGGCCATACTAATAATACTACATGTGTAAATGTAGATTTTGAATGCTGTTATTACATTGCAGCTGTTATAAACATGTTTGTTTTGTGTGCTAAACGTAGTTTAGATTGGGCGCTGAACCTATTCAAAATGGGTATGCTACATGCACTTTGAATTTATGTGGTTGCCTTTCAAATAGACACTAAAAAACTAGTCTTTACCTACACAAAGCAACAGTATAAAATTGTAGAGATTTTTTAGCATTCATTGCAGCAAGTCTGTGTTCACACTGTAACTCCAATTATTCTTTCATTTTAATAATGGTATATTATTTTTGCTGGGAATGGTAGTAGTTTCCTACACCTTTTATAACATCTATTGCATTTTTTATTGTAGAAGAAGAGAGGTGATGGCATAGTGTATGCTGATCTTGACCCAGCAAGTACACAGGGTGGCATCTTCACCGAAAATATTGCAGTCAATGTCATTTATTCTGACATTAATAATTAAAGAGGAATGAAGTTTTAATCAGATAAATAACCTAGAGACAGAACAGAAGTATTATTATGTACATGCCATTATACTTTTTGCTGAATACTATGTAGATTTAATGTTCTGTTTACATTAATTTTTAAAATACAGACCCCCTCAGCTGAATCATGATAATCAAGGTGGGTTCCAATGGAATATCAAAATCATCGATCAAGTTTTAATCAAAATCAGCTCAAATTTTCACACAACAAAAAGACAGTTATGTGCATGAAGAAATGTAATAGAAATTAAAATTGTCTTGTATCCATTTTTTGAAGACTTTTGTACTACTCTAACAGTACAGAAACTTTGTTAAGCAAACTTTAAAATTCATAAAAAAATACAATACTTTTAATCGGAATCCTCTCAAAATTTCTACACAGCATCAGAACATGCATATGTATCAGAAAAACTCATAAAAATGAATTTTTTCCCTAGTGATTTTTGGTGAGACTTGATTGAAAACCCAGTAGTTGAGTACCATACAGAAATTTCGGCTTGATTTTTGAACAAATTTAAAAATTCATGGAATCTAATTCTAATCAGAATCTGTTCAAACTTTTCACAGCAAAAGAACATGAACTGACACATTGTTAATTTACTAGCATACAATAATGGACTCATACCATATCTACATGTATGTATTATTGATTGTTTATTAATTATGAAGCATGTGATGCTGACAATGATATACTGAGAAAAGTAACTATATATAATAAAATTATTATGAATATTTCTTTAGTAGCGATTCACAAGGTCAAATTTTTGCAAAATGAAGGCTGACATTACACTGCCACTAGTTTAATGCATGTGCTTGTGGTCAGGTTGTTGTTTAACTTCAGTAAATTTACATCTTCACAAAAATTTTCACTACACATGGTTGTTAACCAATTCATTATCACCTATGGCATAAGTAAAAGTAGACTGTTGTTAAATGTTAATATACAATATGTAGATATATGTACGAATGCTCTACAGCACTAGCTGATCCATATGCTGCATTTTTTAATACTAACTGAAGGAAACAATTAAAGTACTCTATCTGTTGAGTGTTAATGGTGGTATTTCTATAATTGTTATAAACAACTCCTTGATCCTATTGTAAAATAATGAAGGTATAAGTTGGATGTAGTGATATGTAGGAGCTGGTATTAATAAGAATCAATGACATTAGGATATATTATATAACTTGAAATGAGAAGAGGAAGGTGGCTGTAGAAGAAAATAACAAAATCATCTATTTTACTTGATTGTCATTCAATCAACTGTACATGTTATTTACTACTTATGACAACATTATTTTTAGTTAAATGGAATATAAATGTAATCCGTAATCATTAAGTGTAAACAACACCCTCATTACTATGATACAGTAATAAAACTTTTGAACTGCTTAATCACCAAGCAAAAACACAAATATATGAAAACAATAACTATAATCATTAATGTATAAAAACAAAACACTTCATTAGTTGGAGTTTATGTATAAACAGTTTCATAAACTGTTGATGTTGTTCCACTAGTAGATCTATTACCTACACTAACATGACCATATGCCATATTGTCATTCATTTCAAGTGAAGTGCTTTTTAATGGAATCTCATAATCAGCTGCTGTTGTTGATTGATTAGTAATACTGTAGGATTGTACAGATCTGGAGGATATGCAACAACAATAAGTTATGACTGAAGATAAAATTAATGTCATTATCATCAATAGTATAACAGTGATGGGGAAACTAATAGCTAATACACTAACAGTATTACTACCTATAATAATTATGATGTTAAAATTTAATATAATTGTGATCTGCTTACTTTGTTCTGTACAAGGAGTACATGTACATGTGTGAGTTGACAAAGTTGTTTTTGTTGATGAAATATTCACTATTATAATAAAAATGAAGCAATTAATAACAATATTATTATATGCTTACAGGAAGATAACATGGATTGCACTGTACCTATACCAATAGAAAAGTATTTACTCAATAGATAAGTAATAATTTGATTAATTGTACCTCCAATAGTCACTGAAATAGTGGAATGTGTAACTGTGGTTTGTACTAGTGTATAATTGTAAATACCTGGAAGTAAATGGGTTTAAAAATAAATACAAAAGTTTAAACTAACTTAGTAAGGCTGATTCAATATTGCCAGTTCCTAATACATTAACAGCAGCCACTCCAACAGTATATATTGATCCTACTGTAACATCAGGTATATTGTATGTAGTGGTAGGAGCTGGTATTGTTATACTAGTATAAAGATCAGTGACATTAGAATATATAATATAGTTTAATAGAGGAAGAAGCATTGGGGTAGCTGGCTATAATGGAAACATAAACATAAGTAGATTGATTACTTAATTTACTTTATTCCATGATACATAAATACTGAGGCCAGTTTGATGTAACATTAAGTCAGTTACAGATTCAGATACTATTTATGATTTTAAAAAGTCCCCTCACAGTTAATTATTCAGCTATACTTACCATCAGCAATGAATGTTTTTATATCAGTAGGATCCATATATCTACCACCAGTATCAACAGCTACTACACTAATAGAATATTCTGTATTGTTAATTAATGGTACTGGTAAATTCAGACTAGTATTAGTAGTATTGATAGTATATTCAATACTAGTAACATTAACACTGTAATGAGATAAACAAGGACTGGTTGATTGTGGAGTCCAGGAGAATACAAGAGTATCAGAAGTGAACTTAATATCACTAGAAACAGGAGCAGCTAAAACATCTGAAATTAAAAATAACATGTAATGTCACAAAACATCACATTACAAGACGTGTACATACCTGCAATTATTATAGAGCAACTAAATGGTGTAGTACCAATTATATCACATAGAATAGTATAGTTACTAATGGCCAGTACAGGACTGAATGATATATTAGACCTCATAGGATCAGCACTGGAAGTAAGAATAGTTTTAAAATAAGTGCCAATGATCCTTGGTGTAGAAACATCTGTTCCTTCAGCATATGCAGTTCCACCATCTGGAGCATTTGTACTATTACGAATCCTCAATCTCAATAAATCATCACTTGAGCCAGTTCCATTCTCCCCACTACACGTATAAGACACTGGTTGCAAAAGACATAGAGGTGAATAATTGGTACATCCAGTAAATATCGTTGTACTACTAGTACCTA